TTCTTTCTGCAGCCGCTCGACCTCCTCCTGATGTTCCAGAGTCTTCTTCTCGATGTTCTCCTGCAGAAAGAAAAGCCAAATAATTAATTATATTCAGTTAGTTAGGAGTAGCCCACATATTTATAAATACATTCCTAAAAGACTTTCAGCAGTTTAAAAATACAGAGGATGAAAATCAATGCCACAATGCCAGTAAATTGCACAGACAGCAGTTAGTCAGATTGATTTCAGTAGCCACTTGTCTGGAAATACCAAAGACCAGAAACGGTTTTGAAAACTTTTGTCACGTAGTGATCGTCTTCTCAATAGAACATCTTTGATAATGTCTTCTGGCCAATCAGAATCAAGATAACGGCATGGTGTTGTTGCAGGAAGTCCCGGCGGAGAATACTTTTGCTGTAGTACAGGGGTGCACATAACTGATACGCAGGTTATGTGCGTAATCTGAAATGCGTACCGCCACTTGTGTCACAAAGCGCATTTGCGTACCGACGTACTTGTGAAGCTTTTCCAGAAGGCGGTTAGATCACCGGACGACATAGTCGGTCTCCGTGTGCGCAGACAGGGCTGCTGTTAACGTCGGTCTGTACAACAGAATTGTGCCAAAACTACGCCAACCGGCTGCGGGGGGAGACTCCCCCCCCCTTCACTGGAGAACTGCGCTAAAACAGCTGATCACAATGTTCACGCTCTGTGTTCACGAAGTACTCCACTAGCCCCCCGTCCCCCCGTCCCCCCGTCGACTTTCCTGAAGTACTCCCCTGTTGATAGAAATCAACACGTAATGAATTAAGACCCCACGGTTTGATGATTGATAGGTGTGTGGGCTGTCTTTCATTTTGACACACAGAACATTTTTATAATAAAAATACATACTGTATGTTAAATGGATATATCCGCCTTCTTTCATTTATCTTTCCATTCCCACAACAATATACATAAAGAAATGGCATATTTTGGACATAGTTCGAATGGTGATTAATCATGATTAATTAATTTTTAAGCTGTGATTAATCTGATTAAAAATGTAATCGTTTGACAGCCCTAGTTTTTTGCCGATCCTTTTTAAAATACTTCAATTAATCAAATGATCTAAAAATAAGGCTTATTTGTTATTTTAAAGTATTTAATCCATCTTTCAAAAGTCCTAAAATGTGAACACCTTGAAGTTTATGAATAATTTATTTCTGGTGTTGCTTGGTTTTTAAATGCATTTAAATGTCTCAAATCTAACTTGCCTTAAGCTTAGCCTCTGCAAATCAGCAAATTGTTGAGCCTTTGTAAAATGTTTTATTTTCACTGTTTTTTTTTTAAATCACCTCATTGCTGTACAATGTTGTACTCATGACACAGTACAGTCTTGTTTTTAGATGAAGGTACCCTACTAACACGACATATCATTGTTCCATTTCACACCTTTTTTACTCTTCTTAGGTCAAGATGGCGTTGCGTACGTCAGGCCACCTGCTGCTCGGGGTGGTGAGAATCTACCACAGGAAGGCCAAGTACCTGCTTGCCGACTGTAATGAAGCCTTCATCAAGATAAAAATGGCTTTTAGGCCAGGTAAGCAAAAATGACAAGTCAAAATAGTCCTTGAGCACAGTGCTTTCTGTAATGTTCTTTTAAATGAGTCACATGGCTGATATACAAAAATATGCAGATTCATCTTTGACTTTGTGAAGCAAAGGGTCATGGGAGAACAGTTGCATGGTATAACAACATTATTACTTGTATGTACCTTAAGGTGTGGTGGATCTACCTGAGGAAAATAGAGAGGCAGCCTACAATGCCATCACCCTCCCCGAGGAGTTCCATGACTTTGACCAGCCATTACCTGATCTGGAGTAAGTTGACAACATTTACTGATCTCTTTTCCATCCATCATCATTTGTAAATTGATGTTTTATGCACACCGGCTGCTTCCTCATCCTCAATGCTTTTTCCAACAGTGACATAGATGTGGCCCAGCAGTTCACCCTGAACCAGAGCCGAGTGGAAGAGATCACAATGAGGGAAGATGTTGGCAACCTCAGCCTCCTGCAGGACAATGACTTTGGTACGACACTATACATGCATTGTATATATTTGATGTCAACTCCTACCATACACTGCATGTATGTGTAGATGGTAGTATATTTCAACATGATAAAAGGGAAAACATTTTTAACACGGCATTTAATGATCAACATTTTAAATCTGTGACTCATCTCTAAAAATAACCTTCTTTACACTTCAGCTGACTTTGGTATGGATGACCGTGAGATGATGCGTGATCCCAGCACGTTTGAGGAGGATATCATGCACGGCGCCTCAGCCTCCAACCTTTTGCTGGAGGCTGAGCCAGGCCCAGCTGCTCTCCCTGAAAAGTCCAACCACATGGAGTACGACGACTTCGGGGACGCCTCCTTGGGCAACACTGATGGGGGAATGCTTGGTGAGATTTTCTATGGTTCATTTACCGGTGTATATACTTTATAATAAAAAAATCCGAACATTGGCTATATTACGGCCCATCCACACAGCGGCGTGCGTTGAAGCTTCAACGCTTCTGCCCATTCACTTTGAATGGGATAACGTCACGCTTCGCCGAACTGCATTGTGGGGAGCGTTGCTCGCGTCAAAAGTTGAACCATGTTCAACTTTTGAAGCTTCGACGGAAGCGTCAGCCAATCAAATCCCGTTTATGAAAATCTGCCAGTACAACTGCTAGCCAATCAAACCGCGTGTATGCTGCGAGAGCCATACCGCAGGTCATTTCTATGTTCCATAAAATGGAGGAGAAAATAATCATTGCGGTAGTGAATCACCCGGTGCTGTATGATCAGTCTCTGTTCATCTACCGGGATATAAACCGGAGGAGCCAGGCATGGAGGGAGGTGGCAGAGATAGTGGGTGAAACTGGTAGGTTTTCGCCTGTTTGGGGAGTTTATATCCAGTGTACCTCGTTTAAACATTGAATGGACAGCTAGCAGGCATAGACAGTGTGTGTATATATATATAGCTAGCATGGAATGTTTTTTGCTTTGTATGTCGGGGGCGGGAGATTCATGTGATTGGTTGTTGCTCGCGTTGACTCCCCAAGCTTCAGACACGCCAAGCGTCAACGCACGCTGCTGGGTGGACGCTCCGTTAAACTACAATTGAAGTTGTTTATTAAGACTTTTACGATTTTAAGTACCGTAATTTTCGGACTATAAGGCGCACCTGAATATAAGCCGCAGCAGCTAAATTGAATGATGTGTACATATTAGGTCCGGGACTCGATTAAAAAAATTAATCTAATTAATTAGAGGCTTTGTAATTAATTAATCGCATTTTTAATCACATATAAATATGTGACCTGAGAACAGTGAGAAGCAATTTTTTTCACATGGATTTTAGTAAACCATTGAATAATGACTGAATACATAGGCTTAAGCAACAAAACATTGTTTATTTTTTTTCAAGGTGGTACTTAACCAAGACCAACAGAAAAGTGCAATTTTTGCCATAAAGTGTAGCAATAGCATATTTAGGAATATAGTACATTTCAGAGATTCAGGTAGCCTATAGGTAGGTAGACCTTCTGTAAACTATAACACTTTGTTTTTTAAGTATAACACAATACTTTCAAGTACATTCAGAACATTGGAAACCCTGACTATTAGAAAACATCTCTCTGTTGCTTCAGAGGCCATAACAGACTTTGTTGATTTACCAACAGTTGATTTAAAAAATCTAATCAATTTCAGTCCAACTCTCTCAATAACCTTGGCCAAAACAATAAACAGTTCAACATAAAGTGCCAGTTGCACCAACAACATAATAAATAGTTCAACATAAAGTGTACCATTTAAAATAAAATAAAAAAAGTGCCAGTGATTGACCTCAATCCCTCCTATTCTTCCAATATCCTGATGAAAATAAAATCTCTCTGTTGCATAGGCCACTGTTTGATCAACGCGAATTGGTCCACGCTAGCTTCCACGCTAGCTGCTATATGTTTTGCATTGAGGTGATACTTGAGGCTTGATGTGCTGCGGTGATATGC